GCCTTTTATATATATGAGAGTATAATTCAAAAGAAACGCTCAAATGACATCCGGTTTGCTGGTACTTTAAAAAGTAGGTACGCTTTAAGCAACATCGTTGTATTCACAATAGTTGCTTGTTATAGAAAAAAAATTCTATGAAGCTAACCCGGTTGAAGGCAAGATATTTCAGAACGACACTTTCACCACGCGAGATGGGCTTAAAGAATAAAGGCAATTCATCTTAATACGATTTCTTTGTTTCATTTAACAAAAAATAAATTTAGAATTTACTTAAATATCATATGATTAACGGACAAATCCGGGATCAGACGCTATATGTACTTAATCTTTAAAATGTTTCAAATGAATATCTTATACGATAAGTCTGCAAAACTTAATTTAAATAATATTTAAATTTATAATACACAGATACGGTAATACTGAATTCTACTTATTTACATTTGATATGTCCAAAATTATAATAAAATTATCACACATTAAGTACATGACGTGTTCAAAGTTCTGTAACTTGTATGTCGTCATTTCATTGTAAGTCGAAAGCCGAAAGACGAAAGTCGAAAGCCAAAAGTCGAAAGCCGAAAGCCAAAAGTCGAAAGCCGAAAATTCTTACAGACGAGTCATTCGCGTGTCATATTTATTAGTTTTTTTTAAGATATTATAAAAATTAATGTTCTATCTTAATGATCTGTTATGTTTTTATTTAAAACGTATTTTTTTTTTCTAGAAAATAAAAACTGGTTCGTTATTTTCTTTTAATTGTTTCATTTACATACGACATCACATTTATAATTGAAGAATAAATTTCTTGTGTTAAATTTCGATAATTTTTATTTTAGATATTAACATAATAATTATACTACCAACGTATTATTATACGTAAAAAAACAAAGAGGATAAAACTTACAAAGAGGCTACTTACGTGTTAATTTGAAAAGAAAACTGTTATAAATCTTTATTTACATTTTTTATCTTGTCTCGCTGAACCTAACATTTATATCAAGTACCATCGTGTCAGGTGTTCAACGAATTATAAGACTTAAATCACAGTACATAAGGCTCTTTATCGTGTAATTTCAACTAAACATTTACCACGTTATAAATGTTTTTATAAGTACTTAGCTCGTTCAAGTAACCGGTTTAAAATCGGGAGCTAACTGTGATTTGCCCACGTACATTTTGAATTGTATTTCACGTGCATTGAACTATGAACAAAGTATAAATTATTCGAACCTATTCGAATTTTACATATCGAATAAATAATATGTACCTATTTTTATGATAATAAGTTGAAAATCACGATAAACAAATACGTCTTTTCAAAATTTATTTTTGAAGCAAGTCTTTTGTGTCAAATCAGCGAATGGTTTTTCTCAATTTTTATAATAATGAAATAAAAGTGGCCAAAAAGTATAGATAAAAATCCATATTTATACAAACGACAGAGATAGAGATATGAAGATGAACTTTTGTTAGATTTAAAATCACATTGGATAGTTAACGAAAAATTAAAAAGAAATATACAATAAATATGAAATAATAATTGTTAAAAAAGTCGGATAAAATATATGTTAGGATTCAAGATATCCAAATAATTTAAACAAAATAATCGAAATCCGTTAAGATTTAAATAAATTCGAAATAACTTTTAATTTGTTTAAGTACTTTTGAGATTTTTCCAACTTAATCAGGTCTTATAAAAACACACGTTACTGTAAACGTGAAACAAAAGAATCAGTTCGGAAGATATTTGATATTAAATGTTGTACTATCACGTCATACATCGCCGTGTGAACATAAGCAACACTGGTTATTACAAAAAATAAAAATAATTAAATACCTGTATAGTAATAAAAAAATCAAAAAAATGTTCCTCTATACCAGTTTCGATGAAATAAATTAGTTATTTCGATTAATTCTAATAACTAAGTAATAAAAATGTGTTTTATTATTGTTTTGGGCGATTTTAATTTAATTGAGAATTATTACTTTAAAGTACAGTAGCTAAGACATCTATAATAAACAGGGAATCCCAAGGTAAATAACAGTTGATAGGAGAGCAATTACAAAGCTTATCTGTGAATTAGATAACAAACAGATAAACATTATCTGCCACTGGGCTGTACGAGCTATTCATGTAAAGTACGTCGCGGATACTAAACTACCCTCATTTATAACAGTGACTTAAGGCACTTTCACACTAGAGGCGTTTCTTTGTATATAATGAATCTGACCATAAAAAACGCTATAGACAACGTCAATGTGAAAGTCAACTAAGATTATAACGAACGGTAAAATATCTCCCGTCAATAAAACTGTAGATCAAATAGAATATTTACACTTGACATTTAATAATAATTACATACATTGATTAAATGAAAATTATCAAAACATAATTATTTTATAGTAATTACGATTAAGAAATATAAGACATTTGTTGCAATCGTATTTAAAGTAAGATGAGATGTGTTAATTGTGAGCGTCGCATTCTTTTGAGTTGAGGTCACGTAATACGTTCGAATCCTGTATGAGAGTCACGTACATATACTTACAAATAACACAAAAAAAACATATGATATGTCATGACACAAAAATTATGTTATTTAAAATATTAAACATATTCAGGCTTGCAGAATTGCAGTTTTGTTAAGGTCATACGGTATAAATTAAAAATATTACAAATACAAATTATACGTCATAGGAAAAAGGTGAAAATAAGTCTTCATTGTTCACCTAATAACTCTAATACTGTTAGAAAATTATAATTATTTTTTCAAAGTACTTCAGCAAAGAGATATCTATTGTCTTATAAATTTAATTGCTATTTAATATAATTTAAGGCCATCATAAAAAAAAATCTCCAGACGGAAAGCAACAAAAAATTATTAGAAATTATATAAAAAATGATTGCACAATTCTATGATGCAATATATAAAGAAAATTGAATATAAGCAAAAGTGACCTTAAAAATTTCGTTGTATAAGACCTCATTTAAAATATCGTAGTAATATATATTATAGTAATTTTTACTTCTTCCTTTTACTATACTGGTTCCACTTTATGTAAGGTCGGCACAACATGTTCTTTCTCAGAAAATATTGTATATAGTAATTTTTACTATAACTGTATATTTACTATCAATTTGCATCACTCTCTATACATATCATTAACAGTTTTTCATTCAATAATCTACTTTAATAATATATTGTGAGACGATTTACCAATGAATAACACCCTGTATATAGAACACTCTGTATATAGTGTGACGATATAAACTTTGACTAAGAATACCGGTCTCAAAAAGAATGATTGTCTCTTCAGACAACTTCAGGTAACTGAAATTATATATTCTTACAATTTACTTTAAAATGAATACTTGGCTTAATAAGAGCCTTAACTCATACAAATATCATTGCATTATCGACAAATAAAAATTACTTCAAAACTTATATGTACATCAAGTTTTTTATTTCTTTGTTATAAAACAAAAGAATTAATAGTTAAGGAAGAACATATTTACCATCCTTACCCTTGGAATTAAAAAGTAATGCAGCCATTAAATAAAGCGACCTTAAGCATTTGGGTTAAGGTATTAAGAGTTGATGTGTTGAGCAAATTCATTATAATAAACATGCAATTATACATTTTTTGTTCTAGATTGTAAAAACTAAAATAAAGCAATAATTACTTTAATGAAATCTAAGATTGTTACGAGTATTCATTCTCATCTGTCCGTGATCACGGTTGCTGTAAAGTAACCGCAACATCGGGAGTATGTAGTTTATAATCAAAAGTAAAAATCAAATAGTACATTCGAAAAATATTAGTTTCATTTAATTACTTTGTTCATGCATGCTTCTTTGTAGAATTATTCCTCAGCAAAAATATATGTTTGTTGTAAGAAACTTGTTGTCTTTTTGCCCATAGTTATAAGGAAAATATGCTTTGGATTTTCTTACTATTGTACAAAATAAAAATAAAAACATCTAATGTTACAAAATTCTTGAGACCGAAAGACAAGATGTTATTGTGGCACAACAACCAATATGAATTAAAAAAAATATTTTGATTCAAATAACAGTGAGAATTTAAATGGAATAAAAATATATATATGTAGTTGAATATTTGTGTTGAAAAATGTTTTTTAAATATATATGTCTGTACATAGCCATACAGCTTAACTTATTCTGCTAATGTATGATTTTATTTTAATTAAAATGTTTTTTTTTCTTACATAAATATATGTTATTTAATTATATTCAATAAACTTACTAGAATAATGTTTATTAGAAAAATTCTTTGATACAATCATTATGATGGGAATAAGAAAACCTTTTCTCTTATAATACATTTTTTGTTGAATGAATAATTATATGTGGAATTTAAAAGCTAACATTTAATAATATTAATTAATTATTATTATGGAATAACAAATAACATTTATCTGACATTATATCATATTTTATCATGTTTTTTTTTTTTATTAACATATCATGTATTTCATCATAACTGCATTTATGACTAAGACAATGCAATTTCTAGATTCATGATTCATTAAAATTGTAGTTAAAACATTCTATAACATTCAAAGAACTCTAATAACAATTAGGAAAACATGGAAAGGAAATTACTACACCTAAGTAAATATTTTGATTACAAATTCTACATCCTTTTTACACTATATAAGATGGAGAGAGATGAAATATGTTATCATGGCTTGAGAAATTGGGTGAGTGTAGTGTACACATGATGTATACATAGGTCAGTGTTGATCTATATTTAAGATAATTATCAAATCCTACTGACAAAATAAGTCTTATTTAGTTACCAGTAAAGGCTGTTTTTTCTACAGTCCACCGGGCTAATGGCAATGACCTATTTGATTGGAGTCCTTATTGTTTCAATGTCTAACAATTGGTGGGACGTAAACATTCGTCATCCTACCATTGTGTTATTAGTTATTACACAAGCAGAATTAAAAAATATGTTCGAGAAAATACCTGAATGAGCTAGTCTTCTGCCCACTAAAGGGCTATCAAGCAACAGACGGCGCAGAGACCAACGACCTAGGACTCCGCCGCCCCAGCCGCAGCCTCCGCGGCGCACTCCCTCACGTTCAACCATCACAACACTTTGTACATCACACTACACAAAAAACATCAAATGGTTCCTCCTCGGACCGCCGTTGACGACAAACTACCGTTACATATCATCAGAAATGACTCCGCTGACTCCTTTACACAATCAGTGTTGAGTAACAGTTCACTCGCAACGCATCAAGAGAGAAAGTGCCGATGGTCACAACTGTGCACGTATTCTACTTATATGAGATGTAGTTTTATCATGACCGTAGCCTGCTGTTATTGTTGTTCTATGATGTTTTACGAATTATTCTTGAATACTTCTGATATAGAACACGACAACTTATATTAAAATATGTGATAAAACGTATTTACAGCGTCGATAAGTTGATTATTGAAATAAAATATAATATGCAGGCGTCAACAGCGCGACGAGGAACACTGAAACACTATCTGTGCCAGCTATACATAGTAGACACAAGACACAGGATACCCACGATTGTAGATTCGTGTGACCAGCGGTCGCAGTCAATAGACACACGGCAGAGCGAATACCAATACAACAAAGATGACAACAGTGAACGGACAACTTGAAGTTAGTTTTCGATTGTCGAATTGAATTGAATAGTTTTACTAAATGTAAATTGTTTTCACTTTATTTTATTTTTTAATTAAAAATTACATATTTTTCTTGTTACTAGACCATTAGGTTAACTTATTAAAGATACTACGACAAAAATCTAAACTGCAAAAAATATAAAATAGTTCTTTCATTTCAATAAACAAGAATTATTTTACTTTACATAAATAACATCGAAAAAGATTGATTATAAGAATATTAAATGTATTATAGAATTTCTTTAAACCTAATTATTTTAATAATTTCCATAGCACGTCATGTAACTTTACACGATTTTATTTATTTTCTCTCAAATAGAAATAGATTATATTCAGAGAAAAATGTAAAATATTTAGGAAATTATACAATTCTCTGCTAATTTTCGTAATATTAAAGGATCAAAATTAACTGTGTTGTAGTTAAAGTACACGTTTCCGTTTTATACTTTAAGATGAACTATGACGTGTGGTGTCAATCGTGAATTGTCATTACTTGTATTTGCCAGAATTATTGAATAGGATAAGGATACTCATTGTCTACTTAGTTGTTGTTTTGATCTATAGTTATTATCTTTTAATTGATTTTAATAATTAATTCAATAAATACAGTTGTTTATTTGCAATGCGGTTATACATTATCCAGTTTTTTATTTTTACAATACTAATAAGTAATGTTTTTACCGAAAACAAATATAGCCGGTCCGCCAATGAAAAGAAAAACAATGGTGTAGACTTTAGAGCTCTAGAGAAACCTTTTAGGATGAATAAATTAAATCTTCTATGGACGAAAGCTAAACAGGTACACTAATTATAAGTAGGAATAAAATTAACTTTCAAATTTATCTTGATGATAATGAATTTTATTGTTTCTTTATTATTGTTGTACATTAAATATCTTGTATACTTGTACCTAATTTGTGATATGGAAGAGCGGAGTTTCCTGGCACAGGCTTTTCACATGCTTAAAAGGAGACTCCAATAACTTTATATTTAAGTACAAACTTGTTAAAGAAAATAAAGAATTTTTTTTTATTAATGAATTTTAATTTACAGCGCTTGCCAGAACCGAAGCTGAAATCTCTTTATAGTGATTTGATGATTCAAGATAAAGAAGAAATTACGTATAAAAGGATCAAAAGTGAGGGCATTGATAAGGAAGGTCTTAAAGAAGCTGAATTAAGACGCAAACTCACTAGCATTATGGATGCCTACGGGCTTCGACATCACTTTGAAGATGTTCCAGCAGGCAAACAAAAAGAACACAGTGTAAGTGAATCATTTCTCAATGGATATTTAAAAGTTTTAGAAATCTTGAGGTGTAGGCTTCAAAGGAAACATTTAAAAAAGTTTTCTTTATATTCTTTTGAGTGTGCAGAGGATGATCATAATAAATCAGCAGTTTTACAACAATGTTTACATCATAGTGATATTAAAACTTTTGAAAATTTGATAAATCAACAATATCACTGACTTGATATGTAAGATTCTGTGTACATGGTTAATTGAAAAGAAGTTTTTTTTGGATGCTATGAGTTTGTTATAATTCTATATTTACATGATCCTGACATTTTGGTTCATTTTCACTCTCATCTTGTCTGCTTGTGATCCCAGTTGGTGTAAAGAAATTGAAACATCAAGATCTTGTCGATGTATACTGACAAAAAAACTCCAAAATACTTAGTTTCATTTAAAATTCTGTGAAGAGAAATTAAACTTCCAAAATGAAAAAATATGGGGTTATAGTACTAATCATTATTTTGGGACTATCTTTATCATAGTGGGTGATAGAAGACTTTTGAACCTATAATTCTGTAGGGTGTACGAAAAAAAACTGGGACAGCCCAACTCCATACTTATGTAACTATGTGAGATGTTCTGATCTAGTCTATGGTCTTAGTGTTATTTTTTTTACTTCTATTCTCAATATCTATTCTCAAGGGGTTCTGTCTGCTTTTTCAATAAAAAAAATTATAATCTATTCGTAATAGACCGTCAGCCACTTGTCTGACTACTCCAAGACTGTATGTCAACGAAATAAGTTTTTTATTCAGAATTTCATCACATGAAATGGATAACAAAACTCTACTCAACATTTATTTCTTTGAGAGTGTTATTTTAGGTCATTAAAGTTAAATAACATTGATATTTAAACAACTTTAATATAATAATAACAAATAATAATATTATATCTTTATTTTATTAGCTAAACAGTGAATGTAACATCATTTTAAAACATAATGTTACCAATTATTTGTCCATATCATTTGAGTATGAAGTTCAATAAATTAATAATTCTTTGGTAGATAAAGTAACACTATATTAAAGTTATAAATGCAATATTAATTTATAAGTCTTAAAATATCTTAAAAACGAGGTCTTTTCACATCATTGATAACTATTAAATCATATCTGGTGTCATTGACCTGTGATGATGCTTTTAAAGAGTGACATGTTATCAAGTATTACTAAATGAACATTTGTTTTTGTCTCATATGCAAATCCGAAGGTTTTATAGAGTCAAATTAAAATAGGATTTCCCTGATAAATTATGTTTGTTTATTTGTTATTTTTTTTAGGCTTATAACTCCGCAATGGACGAATCTATACTAAACAAGAGTCTCTTCAAAGACAAAAAATTAAATATTCTCTGGGCGAAGGCGGAGGCTTCAGGTTTTACTAACGAAGAACTGTCTGCCCTTAAAGAAGAGTTTCTGCATCATCAGGAGAAAATAGATCAGTACTACGACTTACTCGTTAATATTGATGTCGAACCGAAAGATGGTTATAAGAGTGAGTATACAGGAAAAATAAGTTACTTAGCATGAAGTAAAGGCTTGTGGATTTATTAAGGTTGTTTTCAAATTAATGTGATAGGAATGTATTGAAGAAACTGCAGTCTATTACTTCGGTCTTTGATTCTCACATCAACAAGGATTTAGATTTAATTTAAAAGAATTTATAGAATAATTTTGAATTATTATACGGTTTTTATATTATACTATCTTTTACCGCGACTTCGTCAGCGTGGAATAGTGACTTCCGGCAGATTTTTGGTTCTTCCCACATAGTTCCCGTTCCTTTTTTCAGAATTTTCAGGATAAAATCTATGTTTTTTTTATTCACATTAAGTACTCTTAACCAACAACATATTTATTGGTTATTTGAATAAAGATTATTATTATTTTGTTGATACAACTTAAACAAATTTTTTCAACCAAATTAGCTACCATAAAAAGGTTTTTGTGAGTTAATCTTAAAAGATAGACATATACTGTCGCGGACTGTTTTTTAGATCATTAAAAGAGCTATTATTCTTTAATACATATTTTTTGTGTATATTGAACCGTTTTCACGGCGCACGCAACGAAATGCTTCAAAGATGAAATAATTTCTCCCGTTTTTTACACATTTACCACTATATCTTTGCTCCTATTGATCGTAGCGTGATGTTATATAGCCTACAGCCTTGCTCGATAACTGGACTATCTAATACAAAAAGAATTATTCAAATCGAACCAGTAGTTTCGGAGATTAGCGCTTTCAAACAAACAAACAAACAAACTCTTCAGCTTTATGATATTCGTATAGATTAGCTATGATTTTATAAAGTATCATATCCTGGTTTCCTTATTCTTTTTCATTTAAGAAAACTCATTTCCAACCAAAAAAAGACACAGTTTATAAATGAGAGAGTTATGCGCGAAAACAAAAGAAACTTAGTTGATTTGAAGTTTAAAAACGTGATTAAGTAAAGCAATACATTGTTTATTAATAACATAATACATACTTCAGATGTGGTGAATGAAGACGAGATTACAAAGTTCAATGAAATTAACTATGAGAAGGACAACAATGAGGAGTTCAATAAAGATTACGTGGATAAGGCGAACTTGGTGAGAGAGAAACATCGCGGACTGAGAGACGGTTACGACAGGCTACAGAGGATCGCTGCTAGAGGTTCGTACTTGGGATAATCTTTGATACTTTTTTAGTAAGAAATTCAATTACAGTAATACCCCGCTTTAAGTGAGGGATACGTTCCGAAGAAAATCGCGTTAACTGAAATTCGCGTATATCGAGGTTTATGATTAAACACAGTCAAAATTTAATACACAAATATAAAAATCATTTTAATCAATCACTTTAATTCTAAGAACACTATACTCCTATTTTTTACGAAAAAATACATGTATTGTCTTTTGGGTAGCGTTTTGTTTACGTTCTTGTAAAATACGTTCATAACACCAAACATTTTTTTTAATCGTTTGACACACGTTCAAGACACGGTCATCATTATGGTCGATTATCATTATTCTCTGCAATGTTCCAACCTGAATAAATTTTTGAAAATCGCGTTATAGTGAAACCGCGCAAAACGGGGTATTACTGTATATCATTCTGTTTGTACTTGAAGGTCCAACCAACAGAGAGTTCATTGAACCCAAAGTCCAGGGACTGTGGAAGATAGCGACGGCTGCTAACTTCACCGTCGACGAACTGGCTTCATTGAAGGTAAGCTTATTGTTGGTTATTTTAGTTTAAACTACGTATTAAGTTGTTGTATGTTTAAAGTATATCTACAATATGATGACATTTTACTAATTATACATTAAAAACTACGTATGTATATTTAATTTCTTTTAAATACTATCAAAAATTGTTTTAAATTGGTATATTATATATAATGTTTTATATTTGTAAGGTGGAACTGCAGCATTATGAAAACCGTCTATTAAAGCTGCGAACTCTTCACGCAGATCACGTAAGCAATCTTGGCAAGCATCATAGCAAGGTTACTTTTTTATTTTATTATTTTCAATTTTAACATTTCGTCATATTATACTTTTTCTTTTTTTTCCTGATTTATGAATCCCCATTTTTGATCCCTTTATTTCCATTGTTATTTAATTTAATTGATGTTTTAATAAAGCAGTGTTTTAGTCAAAAATTAATAAGTCTGTTTCGGAATCGAACTCAATTCAGTAAAAGCATTCTTGTGTTCCATTTAAAATTTATGAATAAATTCCAAAGATATTTGTAAAAAAAGTCATTGAAGTTACTGGACATGTATCTAGTGTTCGAAGAACAGTTTGTCTTGATTTTTAATGTTAGCGTTACTTCCAATAATGTCTTACAAAAGGCTTGAATCTAGTATTTATAGTTTTCAAATGCAAGTTGATACTTAATATTGCCATTACAAATTCACAATGTTTCAGTATTATAATCAATTATAATTTCATAAAAATGAATCTATGGATTATATTATAATAAAATTAATTAGTAGGCACGGATGGCGCCACTTACACTAGTTTTAAATTAAAATTATAGCTTTTTTATATAAATGTCAAGTATTATGGACTTAATAATTTGTCAAACGTGTCATTACAAGACTGTGTGTATGTATATGTATGTGTGTGTATATATGTATTATGTGTGTGACTGTTTGTCAGGTGGCGGCGGCCGGTGACAAAATGGATTACTTCGCCGACCAGCAACAGATGATAAAGAAACACACTCTCAAGGTGGAGAAGCTGCACCAGGACATCGAGAGCAGGATAATGGCGCGTCACACTGAACTATAGATTGATACTCAAGTCTAAACCATTGTATGGTCTTACAATTAGTGTTAAATGTTGTAAAGATGTTGTATTTCCCAAAGAAATATTGATATTGTTTTATTTTATACTACATGGATATGTATGAATCTCTGGTTGAAATATATATTTTCTTTCATTTTTAAGATAATCTAATTAATATATTCTTTACTTAGAAAAATGTCTCTTATTTTTGCTTAAAGTTTTAATTTAAGTCTAAGAAGTAAAAAGAAACTGTTACTTTTGTCAATGACAATTGTAACTTAGCATTTTTAGGAAAATAGAAGTATAATTATTATGAAATATTTTTCATATAAAACTGTTTATGATTTTAAAAATCAATGATTGGGTGAACAAGTCTTCGGACCCTATTCAAGAACAGACTCAAGTATGTTTCAACGGTTTATTTGCCTAGAACTTACCGCATTTCATTTCATTTATTTATTTATTTTTTGCTTTAATAATATTCGAGACATAGCAAGTCCTCAGTAATAATTTACTTATAAATATAAACATTAGCCAAATAAAAAAAAAGAATCATTGAAAAACAGGTGGCATTAAAAACACCATTGGTTACAGTGCATCAATATATGGTATTTAATCTTCATGTACAAGCAATTTTATTAATACACCTTCGCTAGTCGCCGCTGGGGCTCGTGTATATCGTGCGTGGCCCGCAGCCGGCCGCTGGCTCTATCAATATCTATCAATTGTCTAACCCGAGCTCGTCGAATGTTACAAATAAAACTACATCCCTCTCCCCTCACGAGTTTCATTATAATGAATCGTTTAATGCTCACTTCAGTCGATCGTACAGTATAAGTAGTTATCTTCTCGATAGGACATTTTCTCTATTATGTATATAGATAATCTGTATAATATATTTCTTTCTCACTAATATCTACACCGTTTCCAAGGGTTACAATTATATATAATCCTCGTGGGATAGGTCTGCAGGCAGTGAGACGCGCGGCTCTAGTGGCTCCACTTGCTCCAGGCCTGCTGAAATATTACAAATACTTACATTAGTATATAATACATCAAATATTATTATATCTAATCCAGTGGGGTCACTTTCTACTATACACTGACTGTCAGCGTTGCTTCAAAATTTTAAATATCTTTGATTTATCTTATTAATTACTGAAAACTTTAATAACTGAATAATAATTTCAAATTATAATAAATGCGTCAATCTTAGAATTATATTTTAAATTAATTAATACAATAAAACTAGCTTTTAAAAGACTTCTATAAACCAAGCTCATAAAGTTTATGACAACAGTTGGATTTTATAATGATTTAACAAATAAATTAACTGTCTCATTTTTGTTTTAGATTTAATTATGTACTATAAGAATAATGGAATATTTATTATACTGAATACATAAGAAGCAATAAATTATTAAATAAAATAATTATTATTGCAATGATATCACAGATTTTAATGAATATCCCATTTAAATAAAACTAATGTTTTCAGATGTACTGAGCGTTTTTCTATTATTTTACACTTCATACTCCCGACGTTTCGGTTCATTTACAGCCACCGTAATCACGGACAGACGAGAAATCATCTTAGTTTTTTTTAAATAATCGTGACGAATGACAGGTATGAGAAACGCATACTCCGAGCGGCCGGATTACAAAGCAAAAATTAATAAAATCATCTAGATTGTAGAATATTAACAGTACGAATGTTTAGTATATGTCAGAGTTTAACTTGTAACAAGTAGTACCAGTGTAGTGTGATACCTGTTTATCAGTGGCGTGGTGCGGCGGCTGGTCCCAGTGATGATGGTCGGGCAGGCCGCCGGGCGGCAGGTAGGCTGGCAGGCAGGCAGACAACGGCAGGGCGTGCATCAGGGACAGGGCGGCGGCCGTGGCTGCGCCGCCACCGCCCACGCCTGTGCCGTAACCACCCTCGCCGCCCACACTGCCCACGCCGCCCATGTTTACTCCTTGCTGCTTAAGAAAATAACGCTATTTAACTTGACCATGATTAAAAATAAAAAATAAATAAAGGAAATTAAAGTTTCTCAATTCTCGAGCGCCTCGTAATAAAGGAAGAATTTGAAGCTTGATAAATTATATTCACAATATGGGTTGGCGATACAAATTAAAGAATTTATACAAAAATTTGCATCATTCACTTTTTTGAGCAGTCATCAACTAGTATATTAAGTATTCCTTATCACATGATCACTCCGGTGGACATTGACCCCGACTAGTATAGTTCACAAGTAGTCTTTCATCCATCGGTAGTATACAATGTGTGTGTATTAGTAGTATATTTTTTTTCTGATTTTATTTAGGGACTTTTAAGCAGCAAAGCTAAATGTCAGTCCCATCGTTCCCTTAATAATAATCCCACCACCAACAATAAACATGAGCCTTAAAATATCTAAAATAATTCTAAAATTTATAAATTATGTCTTATTTTAACTTAAACTGATAAATAGTTTTGGCTATCTCTGACTTTGGAATGGATAACGCACTTTGAAAAATTCCTGTATCCTTTAAATTAATGCTAAATCTATGTATTAACTCTCTTCTTTTGGCAGCATTTCGAACACATTCCACAAGAAAATGATATATGTTAGTAGTAGTGTATGTATGACCTGGTATCTGTCGTGGTCGGTCCGGTGGTGCTGGTGGTGGGGGTGCCAGTCGTCGGGCGCGGTCATCTTCCACGCCCGCTCGGTGCCGATGGGCCGCGGCTTCCTCTCCTCCTCCTCGCCCCAGCCCACGCCCACGCCCACGCCGCTCACGTTGCCCACCGAGTTGACGCCCACGCCGCGGTCCAGTAGAGACTATATTGAACAATCAAGTGATACATGTCACCTATATCCACAGATAATAATATCGTGTATTGCGTGTAATGTTTTTCATATAATACAGGGTGTATATTTTTTGTGTGATGGTACCTGGTATGGGTGGTGGTGGTGTGGCGGCGCGTGTTGCATCTTGGGCGCTCCCTGTTGGTACGACATAAGCAGCGAGCTCAGATTCCCGCCGCTAGTGCCGCCGGCTCCCGAAAACAGTTGCTGGAAATAGAAAAAATATAATGTTTATTTGTCTACATTTTGTTATAAGAGTCTATAGCTGACAACTTAATTATATTCATCGATTATAAGTCATGACTTTTTATTCCTCGATTGGATGATATTTGCAATCTTGTTTTCAAACATACATGTATGTGTACAGAATTTATATCACTATTACAATCGACCATCAGTGAAATCTATCATGATTTAGTAAATGCAACTATTCTGATATATTCCCATGCAAAATAATACAGAATGGAGAGATACATTATATAGCCCATATGTCGCTAAGCTGCATTATTAAAAATTTTCATAAAAATCTTTTCAGTAAATTTTATAGGATGCAGAAACTAATGTAGAATCATCTAAATAAATACTAGGGAAAGTCATAGATTTCATTATACAATCATCATCACAAACATTCCCATTTATAATATTATAAGCATTACACAGTCAATAAGCATACACAAAGAGTATTATGTCAATGTCTCATTGTGTATACTGTATAAATTCAGGGGAAAATGTATGTAGTTGTCTATGTATACCTGTGTGGCGTGTTTGTGTTGCTGATGCTGCAGCAGCGGATGTCTCTGCGCGAAGTCCGGCGCGCGCGGGTTGAGGCGCGACACACTCTCAACGCCCACGTAGCCAAGACCAGATAAAGACACGCCGCTGGACATGCCCACCTGCTGTTAAATACACATTAGCATTGACAATGAAAATACTTTATTACCAGCAATAACTCAATGTTAACAGGAAACACAATTACAAACATAACAATATTTTGCTGAAGTGATTTCCAGGGGCCTCCACACTAAGCGAGCTTGTGTCGTGGATGCCTTATTTACGATTAACTATAACAAGTTTCACCTACGGTAGATGGCGTGTTCTTTATAAAGATGTTACAAATGGCTTAAAAGTATTGAATCTTAAATATAGAAAGAAAAAGATACAAAAACAAGTAAATAAAATGGTACAACATAAATATATAGTAATTATTATTACGATTCATTGAATAGCATTCATCAACAAGAATAAAAACGTGACAGATTGTGTTATTAGTAGGAAGCAGTGGCGGCTGGTGGGTTATCGAACTGGTGGTTCACTTTACTAAAATATTGACAAAAACAACAATTGACATAAAATATGTTTATTTTTTGTACATTAAATCAATGCGACGACATTTTTCTGTAGCGAAATGTTCTATCACCTTTTTATTAAAATCTGATTCCAGTTTCTGTCCAAATCGATTCTCCGCCAAAAATAATGCAAGGAAAACAAAAGAATGTATTAAGACGCTCACATCCACACAACCATTTCTTTCTATTATACATTTCACTTTTAAAACTTCGTATAAATGCTTTATTTTTCGATTTACACTCTTGTTTTAAATTTAAAAAGGGCCGTGGCGGCCCGGCCAATTTTATGTTCACTTTACTTTGAAAAATTTTGTTATTTTCTTTAATATAATCAATATTTATACTCATTTTCAACTAAAAAAACACAGTACAGAATAAAAGTTCTATTATAGAAACGAAATAAAAACTATAACGAATTACGGAAATAATTATAAACAATAACGAATTAACGCGTCACGCATACAGTGAAAGTTGAAACAATACCAATAACGATTAACGAAATGTCAATCATAGCACCCATCCTTTCGGCCGGCCCCTTGCCGGCCGGCTCAATACGTCATACATCGGGTGCTCTCGGTAACCTTCGGCCGCTTCGTGCGGCGCGCGAGAACCGACTCGTTACTCGGTACAATTCTATGAACTATCTTTTGTCTCACGCGCCAGGCGTATTAATGCGTGTCTCATACAAGATGTATTAGCAGTCCTCGTGCACTCGCCGGAGCGCACGATATGAGTTTAGTAAAGCGCTCAAACTTTTTGACCATAATTGGAAATTAAATTTTTTATACCTTTTTGTATGTTT